TAGACAAGTTGTAGTTAATCACTGCAGGCATTGTAATCAAGTTGTAGGTAATGGTATCTCACATCTCTCTTTTTTTCTCAGTCCTAAATTCCTGTGTTAACTCTCCCTTTAAAAAAAAATGCGATTTTTTTCCACATAACACAGCATCATATTCTGCTGTGTTTTGGTCATAATAGTGTTTTATGCTATTTTTTCGAACTTCAAATGTGGCGTGTGAGTTAGTAAAATGATGAGAAAATATTCCTAGAACTTTAACCTGCACACGTTATAAATTTCGTCACTCATCTGTACTGTGATTGGTCTAAAGCTTCTTGAAGCCTTGTCCCTTCTCAATAAAGGCAAATGGACCCACCCACCCATCAACTGAGGATCACAGAACAGTTTTCTCTGTTAGGTTGAAGGCGGCTTGACGGTACCCTTTTTTTTAGTCAGTATTGTTCACTCAAATAGCAGATGGACCAGTGATTGTAGAATAGGCATCCAAATACAGGTATACTAAGAATCAATGGTTAGGCTGAATCTCAACTCATCTGTAGGAAGAGCATGATGCTCCACTGAAGTCTGATCAAAGATGTATGTTGTCTGCACCATGCTAAATGCACTCTCTTGTGTACTGAAGTGAGTGGGACACAAACAGAAGTTTTTCTGGCAGCTTTATTTCATGAAGCCTTCAAGCAACTGCAGATTGTTAAGCTTGGGTTTCAGACATCAAGTACAGCTCACGTGAGAGCTTTGAAGCTGTAGCAGACCTGTGTTACTGAGCTGAAATTGCAAATAATGATTCTCATTCTTCATTGTGAATCTTGGTCAATCCTGTCACTGAAGGCTGACAGCAATGTTTCTTCACTGTTACTGAAAATGTTTTTTTCTTTTTACCGCTTCACTACTGAATGAATGATTTTGTTAAATAATTTACTGAAAATTATAACCTTTTGTTAAAATTGACAAGGTAATTTCATTGAAAATGACCCAATGAATCGATGAAATGGCCAGTAACATAAAATTAAACATATCGCACCAAAATTTGAAGCATTTTCTGCTCTTGATGACAGCACAGACACCACTGATACCATTCAACTGGCTATATTTATCCAAAGTGTTGATGCCAACTTCTACCATTTAGAAGAATTGATTGCTCTCCAACCACTGAATGGTATAACCAAGGGATAAAGCCATTTCCCTTAAAGTAAAAAATGCTTTTATTAAATTTGAGCAAAGCTAAGTAGAATATCTACCAACATGGCTTCATCAAAGATTGGATCAAACATAGGAGTTCATAGGAATAAAATCAGAGATATCATGTGATAACGGAAATGGATATTAAAGATTTGACTGCACTATACACCAATAAAATTTGTGCGCAAAATCAACCAAAATTGCACATGTGATGAGCACGATAATTTCCTACATAAATTTCATTAAGGGTGCTAAACCACAATCTATGAATCAATATTTACAAAGAAATGTCTTTGTTTCTCATCAACAGAAAACTCCACAGTCCCATTATGATTCATTACAAGGAAAAAAATTCAGTGAATGCAACAAAAGTAAACAGCATTTGCCGTCAAGTTTAAAGCAGAAATCGGCACTCATCTGCTCTGCATATGTGCATATCTGAGTTGCCACTTACATATATTTTGGCAACATCACAGAGTGCCTATTTTGCAAACATTGCATGCCGCCTCAGAAATACTTTTCAGGGATTGCGTATAGTCAGAAAGATCCAATCATGCATGAAATAAACCCCCTTTAAATTATTTTTTAAATGCTTATCTGCACTATTCAATGAGTGATATGTATTACGAGATGTCTTTATCACTTAGTATTCACTTAGTCTCAGGGAAGGCAATTTGCTTTTACTCATCAGGCATCCATCTGGGCTGATATTGCATTAATTTAACCTTTATTTATTTTTCTATTTTAAGATCCAATAAATGATTAAATGCAAACACTCGATCTTTTATCATTGAAATTTCACTTTAATAAGTAAAGATCTGATACACAAAAACAACCAAAAAGGAAAACAGTTACATAATCAGTAACAATAAAAACTACATGAATACAAAAATTCATGAGACAGCACAAGCAAGTTCTAATAGCTCACTCTAAGCACAAGCAGGTTCTAACAGTTCATGCTTGCTGGTTACATTTTATGCAAGATTAAAAAAAACAATGGTTTATCCTATAACATTTCTACTTTTTAACAGTGAATTTCATCTCCTTTTCTCTGGCTAAAATTTAATATAGTTTACTTTCAGTTAATCAGATGTGCAGATACTTACCTGTCAATTAGTGTGTGATGTCTAATGTAAGGATAAAAAGAAAAACATGCATGGGAAATAATGCTTTTTTTTTTTCATGAAATGTTTAATAACTACTTCAAAATACTCTTGAATAGTATCGATAACAACTCAAATAAGAACCCCCAAAAAAAAGTGTCACATTTAACCAAATACAGTCAAAAGTCGTTAATCCGGACTCGTCGGGACTTCGGCAATTCCGGATTATCGATTTTTCTGGATTATAGATCATCAGTTTAAATCTGGTAAAAGGCAGCAGAAATTAAAATTAAAAAATGAAACCAAATTACGAAAAAAGACAATTATGATCTAAAGGGTATCAAAATTACAAAAAAAGCTTATATTTATTTGTTTACTATATTAAACATTTCTTTCAATATAAGTTGTTTAAGTTGCTTTGTTTTTATGTATAATACTTCTCTTTAATTATAAACAGACATAATTCTTGTTCAGACAAAGTTCCGCTGTTCAAGTCCTATAATTGCTCTGTCGAGAATACCGACTAATTGTCAATGAATTTTTTCGTTTTCAATAACTCTGTACTTTCTTGCTATCGGAGCGAATTATAATGAGAGCATTTGATTTAAATCAATCAAAGACAGAGTACACAAGATGAAATACTACACTGAAAGCAGTATAAGCCAATAAAAAACATCTGCCCTGAAGATAAGAAGTGCTGGACGATCACTTCCAATCAGGCAGCGGCCATGGGTTAAGATAAAAAGTTCAGATAAACAAACGTCAAAGTTAGTAAACAAAGGATTGCTTTAGCCAGTTTTTGCAGCAATTCCATTTTTGTAAGGACTCCGAAAGAACTTCGTTTTATATCCTTACATATTAGTAAATATCGAGGGCTATCCAGAAGTGATTAGTTTTGGATAAAAAAAAAACAAGTATAAAACAATTTTTTGAACGATAAAGCCACACTCAAATACTACTTTTCAGTCACATACAAATTAAGGCATTATGAGCATGTACGGTTGGAAATCCTTCGTCGAAAAATGCGGACGCTGCGCCTTCAACCATTCGTTACTTCTTGCGCTGTGCGTCGTCATCAAAACGTGCATAGCAGCCGTTCTTCATTGTGGGAAATTTGTGGAAAACTCAAGAAAGTTCCGTTATTGTGAAATTCGATTTCACGCTTAGCATGACTTTTTCGAGAAGTTCGGCGGTCACTTCTGGGTCTCCACTTCGATCTTCATGAACTTGGTTCGCCATTTTGAAATCTTATGACCCACGACGCACCCACCTCGTATATTTGTCCCCATACCTCACGAAGCTGCCGATAGATTTCTATCGTTTACGTTTTTTTGCGCAGAAACTATACTGAGCGCACTCGCGCTCGCGGGATTTCATTAAGCGAATTCAACCGCACAGTATCTGAACGGAGCACAGCACGACCTTCACTCGCACGGCTAGATGCAGATGAGCTGCGCAACGCTCTGACCCAAGATGGCCGCCTAGCCCGCCCCTGCGGAACAGACGGAAACGTAATTACTCTGGATGGCCTCGTATATCGGAAATTCTATTGACATACTCGAAAGTCAGCTTACTTTTATAAAATTGCTCTAACAGTCTCAAAAATAATAATCCGGATCCAATTCGAAGATTAAGGACACCGCAATCTGCAACATTATGAATAGATAATTAGATTTTTGCTTTAGCTTATCCCGCCGTTATACACAAACGCGCATTCGTAACGTATTTTGCGCATGCGACCGCAAATTCTAGCGGAAAGGTCTTACGCGCATGCATCAACGCAACATGCGCGAACATTGAGCTTGAGGTCGAGATAGATCATTCCTGATTATGGGTGTCCGAATTAACGACTTTTGACTGTAGATGTTTTTAATAGCTGAAAAAGCAAACTACTAAAAAATTACACTTCTCCCACTTTTATAATAAATTTCAGAACTTTTTTTTTAATTATTTGAAATTGTATTTTTTTTTTATTTCCCTTTGTAAATGAATCCTCTGATAATACTTGAGATACTTTCTGATCTTGAGTTCCATTTCCATTATTTCTCTCAGCCTTTTTCCTTCGACCTCATTATCTCCCCATTCATTTACAGCTAATTTTTTGCTTGGATTTCGATTCTGTTGTATTTAACTATTTTTTATTCTGTTTCATTTTCATTTATATATAAATAAAATGAAACAAAATTGCAATTTCATTTTTGTTTGAAAAACTGTATACACGGGTTTAAAACTAAATTATAAAACAATTTTATATTAGAATATATTTGGAGCAAAGAAACCATTTAAAATTTCTTTCTTAAGAGAATAGGAAGTACAATGTTGTAAAGGTGTTGCAGATAAATCCTCTTCCACAAGATAATATTACAGAATACTTTTGCAAAGTGATATGCAAGGAATACATACAGACTACTTTCGAAAAGAATAACACAAACTGTAAATTAAAAGGAATTCTAAAGAGGGGAAATATAAAAACACATTTAATAGTGATTGATTTATATAATGCTTGCAGAAGCAAACAGAATATAGACAATTTAAATATGTACACCTCAAAATGCATGAATTCATTCAAATAATAGAAAAAGCAAGAAATTTATCACATTTTGATTTCTAGCAGCAATTTCTTTAATAAATCCTGAATGTGTACACATTCCTCTTAAAAAAGTTAATCTTTTGAAAAGAAGGAGGAAAAAAGAGAGGAAATTTAAGAACATCAACACTTACTTTCTCCAAAATCTGATTCACTTCATCCAGTTGTTCCCTTATTTCAAAATCTGCATCATTTGTGATGTCAGCCATTTCATACACTGATTCAACATAATCTTCACTAACAGGGTTTAAATCATCGATAATTTCTTCTTCAGTTGTTAACTGTACATCATCCTCATATGTAGATCCTGTGGTTGGAGAAAGAGGTTCTTCAGTACCCGTAAACTGGTCAGAAAAAGAGTCACTTTCTTCGTTCACCATAGAGCTCTCAGGAGACACAGTAGGTTCTGGAAAATTCATTTGCTCAAAAAGAATCTCTCGCTCTTGTTCATAATCAAGATCCTGTGATACTGCTTCAGGTGGAGCTTCAATAAATGTGTCTATTGTGCTTTCTATAAAATTGTCAAAAATGGAATTTTTAAGCACTTATTTGCAGCTTGCAAAAATATATATGTAGTAAAAAGTATACATATATATGTAGTTTTAAACAAAAGGTTATAAAGTACAGGTTCGATTTTTCAGAACAAGAAGAAAGAAAAATTAGCAGTACTTTAACCAGGATTCAAACTCTGGATCTTCCATATGCTAGACAGGTTTGATATCAGTTATACCACAACAGCATGTAATGAAATGAAAGTATAATGTCATATATTACTATGAAATACAATCAGTTTAAAATTTATAATATTTGACAACAGATATACATCCAAATCTATTCTAGATTAACCTTTATACTCACAGAACAGCAATTTCTCAAAAACTATTCTGTTATGAAATTCAGCTATATTCTACTAAGACTCAGAAGCATTTCATGTTAGATATGACACTATTAATTGCAACAATACATGTTTAATAACTGGATGCACAATAATAAATGGCAATTAATGTGCTTGTGACTATCATATTAGCAAGAGATCAAAACCTGCAAACCTAGGAACATATCAAAACATAAACAGTTTGAACTTTATATTTTAGACAACCATCTCTATATAAAAGCACTGAATTTTTAATGCATTCAAGACTTGCAAAAGGAGAATGAAACACTCTCCCAGGTCTAAACCCTCCAAAAGTGTATGTACACACGGGACATGACAATTTTCTCCATTAAGTTTAATTTCATTTAAAATCCTTATTGCAATTAAATATGCAGAAGTTTACAGCTTATTAGCATTGATAGTATTGGTATATACTGTAATAAAACTTTTGTGATGCTTTAAAAAAATGTTAATTTTAAAGAAAATGGTTTTATTTTAATAATACTGTTGGGTGGGAAAAAATGGGCACTTCAAAATTTGAATAAATTACTAGTAAAACTACATGATATTTATCATAAATATAACAAAATGAATGAACTACTCACATTTTTAAAGTTTTATTAGCATCTAGCACTAACTCATGCTTATTTAGCAGTTTTTGTTTAGCAAATTCAAATATTGGTCTATCTCATTTTTTTCTCTATCAGTGTACATAAATGACAAAAATTTTATAAACCTGCATATAAGCATTCAAAATATAGATAAAATATTTTAAAAATGAGTACAAGAAAATTTAAGATAAATGTAAGAAAATTACTAAATAATATGTAAAAATTTTGAAGCCTGATGATACATTTCAAAACACTATTCGGACATTGTTCTACATTGCAACTTTTGCATTCATTATAGGTTTGATCTTTTTCTTTTAAGTTTTTTTTTTTTTCTTTCATTTTTCATATTACATTGTCTTCCTGTCTCTTTACCATTAGCATCTACGTATAAATTTGGAAAATGACTTAAAACTAAGCTAATTTTAAATGATTGGTGACTTGTAATGCAGTTTGTTCTTTTGTAGGCTTAGTTTCCTTGTACCTTTGGATTATTTGCTGAAAATTTGTTCAAAATTCCATAGATGATTTCCTGATTTCCCCCCTTTCTGTTTACAAAATAGCATATTTGAATTTATTTATTTATTTTTTTTAATTATTATTAAATCACATCATTTTCAAATTTCATGCTGCATTACTCGCTCACGGAAGCATTTCAGTATTTCCTTTTTAACATTTTAAACTTGTTTGTTATGATGACAGATAATAGAAAGGCAGTGGCCTTAAAGTTGATCACTTTGACCTCGACATTGGCAATTCTGAACACTAAAGACAAAAAAACACCCAAAGAGATTTTTATTTACTTATTTAATTATGACAAAGAACTCTAGCCATATCTGCCTAAAGGGAGGGCTTTTAAATAAATCATACAAAGAGATTAGTGATAGTTATTAAGATGTTTGTGTACATATTATGTAACTCAGAATTAAGAAAGAATTATGTAATTAATTTTAATACTGTAAATCTTTAGTATCAGTGTTCCATATTAATTTATACATTATTTACTTTAAGAATAGAATAATGTCCTTTAACAGATAAACAGAACTCTGGTTATAGCAATCAATTACATCAGCTATGGCCAAATTTTGCATATATGTAGTTCAATTTAAAATGTATGATGGATCTATATAAGTCTGCTTATCAGCCATGACATTATGTGTATAACTAGTACTTTCTGACATCTGCACTCCCATGGAAAATCGTCAGCTCACTGGCGAATTTGTGTACTGGCAAAAACATTTCCTTGGCTAACTTTACAGCTCATAAATACTGTTTTGTCCATAAATAATTATTAAGAAAGTATAAAAAAAGAATTTTTATGACAAAAATATTTATACGGTTGGTATTTACATCCTCACAGTCATTCATAAGTGATGTTTATACCATGTACATCATACGTATGATAAAATTATGTATCATCCCAAAAACGAAAAGTGTATACGCTTTAGTGTCTATGCTCCTCAATTATTTTTCAACTGCGTACTTCCATATAAACAGAATAATGTCCAAATAACTGATGAATACAACTGCTGTCAATTACATGAATTATAAGTGACTTCAAACAAACTTTCTAGCAATTTTTATTTTTAAGTTCATACATATAAATACATATCTAATAAGACATTTATTTATATATGCATAGAAAGATATAATATGGTATGTATGATGCATATGATATATATTTAGAAGTTGTTGATATATATTTACTAGTATTAATGTAATGAATAAGCTATATATTAATGAATGTATATGCAAATGCTTTTCATCATGCATAACAATAAATCCATAAATTTTGAAATGTATCAGTATGTAGCATTTACAATAAAAATATAGTTTCTCATGTATTTATAATCTAAAATGTATTTCACTGATACCCTAAAACAGTAGCATATAAATATAATGAGTATTCTCATCATTACATAAGCAATATTTTCCTTTTTTATACACCTCTGATGCTCTTTACAGTATGCTGCAAATCATGCATTAAGCAATTTAAAAGATAAGTAATTAGCAGAAAAGTAAAGTTGCACACATATAAACATATTTTAAAAAATTATTCACCTTAAATTTAATAAAAAAGAATTATGTTATATAACAATAATATTTCTACATGGTACACTATGAATCAGTACAATATATAACAAAACTGGTAAGCTTTTGGCATCAAATAAAATTGTAAACAAATCATTGAAAATATAAGAAGGCACTGTCCACTCAGAAATTTCCATGATTATAAATTTAATCAACATATAAACATTTTTAAATGGCTTAGACAGTTCTATTATAAAAACACAGTGCACAAATATGGTTGTTTTCGTATTTTCTTCAATGAATTTGGCTTCTATTTCAGTTGCGCATGACCTCAAACTATAGCCACTGCCATATATGGAAATTTCCAATGACTTTTCAGAAGAAAAACATTCATCTGATTGGTTGACATCTACAGAGAACATTGCTGCAAGTGAAATATTTTTGGCAAAGTTCAAAAATATCTCTTCCAGTGCAGCTGGTTTTTCTCCAAACTCTCCCATTTAAACCAATATCGCCAGTGATAACTCCCTAAGAAACTCCACGGATCAAAACTTTATCATTTAGAATCATAGAATTTCTTTGGTAACAAAAAATTATACCTTTTAGGACATTTTGAAAGACAAAGATTTTTAGCCTTCTGAATTATTATCAAGCAAGAAATAAATGGCACTCAAAATACAGCTTCACAGATAGGCTTCACAGATAGGAATTATATACACCTTAGTTTTTTACTTACTTTAATAAAGGTGCCATAAGTGGTACTTTATAATTCACTTTGTTTTGAATTTTGCTTCTTTTAATTTCTTTTTATAACTAAACAAATGCCATAAAAACTTGAGAAAGTGAGCTTTATTCCTAAAGTAAAGCAAATTTTAAAGTGTTCTGGGAAGATATCGATATCTTGCAACATTTCCTTATAGACTTGGTTGACACCTTTTATTTTTCTATGATCTCTTCTTTTTTTGGAAAATTCTGGTACGAGTTTAACTTAATATTACATGTATGGATTTGCATATAGAAGCGTCATGGTACATGGAGCTATGATAGTATGTGGATGCATTATGTTAATAAATTTTTCACATGTTTATGGTAGATACAATATCGAATGATGTGGAAATGAAGTCTTTGAGCTTCATTCCTCAGTAAGAATTTCGATACGTATATGCATGTGTGTGTACATATATTTCCACATTCTTATGTATACATTCAAATTCATTTCTGTACAATTGAAGGCAAAGCTGTAAGATTTCATTTCCACCTCACATAATAGTCACTGTATCTTCCATAGACAACTGAAAAGCACATTCATTTAACAAGAAGCATCTACATACCACGACATACTACTTGGAGATTCAAATTTACTTCTATACAGCCTAAAAGTCTAAAACAAAGCTCTAAAACTTCATTTGCATACTGCTTGACAGTTATTGTGTTCACTAATCATTGGCTTTTCATGCACATTGAATGCCTTTCATCCATGTAGAATATTGATTTAACATGACGATTTCACATAC